TTTGGTTATAAAACCGAAACCGAACCGAACCGGCTGGTTTTTTCAAAATTTTAATCGGTTTTTTTTTTCGGTTCGGTTTTTTCAGTTTTTTTTTTCTATTTTTCTTGATTTAATCGGTTTTTTGGTTTTTTTGAACACTCCTAGAAAGCAACATCAATTATCTCCCGTGTTGAGAAAAAAGAAAAAAAATTATTTACTCTACATTTCAATATCAAGTTTCCAACCTTATTTAGAGTGTTTTTTAGCTGACTTTTATGATTATAATTTTAAAAAATAAATTTTAAAAAAATATAGTTATACATGGTTAGTTAAATTTAATTACGTGTCTAAAGAAATTATGATTAAAGTTTATATATAGCAAAAAATATGTATAAAATGCTTGGTAGAAATGTAGTTTCAGTTGCTTTTCAAAGTATTTTTTACTTAACAATATATCAAAATAATATATTTTTTTATTTTTTAAAAATTATCTTTGATATTAGTATTGTTATGAAAACACAAAAAATATATCAATTTAAAGCAAAGAAAAAATAAAAATAAAAGTAAAAATTAATTTTTTTAAAAGCACTTTTAAAACACAAAAATAAACAAGACTTTACCAAACTCAGTTAAAAAAACATATAAAAACTATTTCATAAAAACTATTTTTCAAACTCAATTTTTAAATAAGTCTCGTAGAATAAAATACAATTTAATTTGTTATTAAACATTTTGCTGTGTTTATTTCACTATAAATACAAAAACCAATGAAAAATAGATACATCCTTAATACATTTACAATAATTCCATGTACATTTTATATAATAACTCTCACAACCTTTTCCTTTTATATATCATTTACTTCATTATTTTAAATTTGATCTTCATCCCCTTATATTTGATCAAATATTTATTTATTTTATAACAATAACCATAATATCCTTCTCATTTACTTGTTACAAGTTGGTTATTTTTATATTTCAATAATTTATATTTTAACACTTTAATGGGTTCTCTATACAACATGAAAAACAAATTATTATTATTATTATAATATATATGAAGTTGGATATTTCAACACATTATAACACTTACGTATCCATAAATATTATCAGATTTTACTCATTGATTTTCTTTTCTTAAACAACATTCATAACACCTTTCATATCCTTTTAAAGCAAGTTACTTCAGAAATTTTATCTAATTTTATAAAATTCTTGCAAAGTCTCCTTTATATGAAACACTTCAAAATATAAGGGTGCATCATCTCCTTTTTTCCACTTTATTTTGTCTAATTTCATTCGTAAAATTAAATTGCCTATATTTTGAAGAAATGAAAGTAGAAGGCTATTGAAAAGTTGGTGGTATATTTTATGGATAAATTGGCTCTTGAGTTGTTGTTAGGAAGTTAAATCAACTTTTTGTGAGTGCTCTTATCTATTCAGTATAATTAATATTGAAGGTTGATTATATTTGATGAAGATTATGGAAGGTTTCTAACTCTTTCACTTGATGTTTTTATATTATCATTTATGAAATATTTCATATTAGATTTGGGATGAGAAGGGTTTGAATAGAAAATAAATGAAGCTCTTTTTTTTTTAGAGATATATTCCGATAAAAAATATCACTGATGAAATCAAAGAAAAACTTCATTAGATCTTTGGGCTTTTCTGAAATGGGTATTGCCTAAAAAAAACTTTAATTTTTAAATGAGTTTTTGAGTTTGGTTATTGAAGTGATAAGCGAATAAAAATATAAAAAAATATAAAAAAATGTTTTTTATATATATTATAGGAAAATTAATATTTTGGCCGGATAATTATATTGATGAATAGTTAAATATTTTTATCTCGAGGAATAAGAGAGTAAGCTTCTTTGATTATGAAAAAAATCAAATAATTGATCATGTTGTTATCTATTAAAAGTATTGGTTTGAAAATATTTTTTTTGGACTATAAATTTTTTTTATAAAAATTAAGGATTGTGTAAAAGGTAAGAGAAAAAGAAAAGTCAAGTAAAATGAAAAAGGGTGTGGTTGGGTTTGAGCGACCTAAATCAGTTAATTTATAGAAATTGCTTACTCTAAACCTGGTTTAGGATGACCTAGTGCCTAACTCGTCTTAGGCTTTCTAGGGTGAGCTGTTTTTTTTAATTAGAGCTAAAGTATATTTTTAAAACAATCTTTGAAAAAAAATCCTATTTGAAGCAATTTAAAAAAAAAATCCTAGACAAAAAATCTATGGCCTAGTTTTGGGAATGAAGCAGGAGCCGAACAAAATTTTTGACATAGCTCATGGACATACAAGACTTCTAGTTTGGGAGATATCGAAGAAATATTTATGATTATATGAACTTTATTCATACACAGAGGATTATGAGACCTTGAGAATCGTTAAAACAATGTTAAAAAAAAAGTTACGAAAATTTACTTCCATTTTTAACTTTGAATTAAAGGTGCAAGAGATTATTTTCATAAAATAGATATGACCTTTTTGTTTTTCAATTTAGAAATGTTTGTCCAAAGAGATGCAACAAAAACACACTAATTTTTCATTAAAAATAGAAAAAAGAAATTGCTCCTCCAGAAAAGGATTTTTTTGGTTTTTTATTCTGAATAATAAAATAAATGGAGATGAGAAAAGGGCCAAACCATTTTGAAGACAATACTACAGAAAGCAAACATAATCCTTGTTTATTTTCTTCAAGCAAAGAATTTCGAAAATCAAATTGGTTTCAGCAATCGATTCTCTAGAAACTAGAAACTAGAAACGAAGGTGTTATGCAACAGGATTATGATCATGAACGGCGAAGATTCTTCAATTTTTCTTTTTCAATGGCAGAAAAAAAGAATAAGAAAATGCAATCATCCAAAAGAAAAATAAAAAAGATATTCCAAGAATGGTCGCTTTCAGCAAGCTTTGAAAGTCCATATTATAGCCCATACGCTTTGGGCTTATGCCCGAAAGAGAGTACAAAAAATAAATAGTAATAAAATAAATAAATAAATAAAACCGGTAACAGTAGAAAGGTTGTAGGATGCAGACTGAGGGAGCGAGAGAGTGAAAAAAGATGGAGCCTAGATGTGTAGAGTGTGGATTTCCGATCAAAACTCTTTTCGTCCAATACTCACCTGGCAATATTCGGCTCATGAGATGTGTAAATCTCTCTCTTTCATTTATGTATCCCAACTTTACCTCTCTCTTTTTTTTTAATTTTGTTCTTGTTGTAGGAGAATTGCAAAGCAGTTGCAGACGAGTACATCGAATGTGAATTTATGGTGAGTTTATTATACCCTTTTGATTCTTTACTTGCTATGGATTGCTTTTTTATCCTTTCTTTTTTCGGGTTCACTTGGTGAAGATTTAGAGGTTTCTTTTTTTCTTTTTTGCGTTAATGGGTGTAGATTATTTTGATTGATCTGATTCTGCACAAAACAAAAGCGTATAGACATCTTCTCTTCAATGTAATTAATCAGCATACGGTCAATTTTGAGGTACAAGCTGCTGCCTTTAGTTATGTTGGCTTCTTACGGTTTATAAGCTTTGCATTCTTAATTTGGACACTCTCTTATGGTGTATTCTTCCAGAATGCTTCGAGGATATTAATGCTTCTAATCAAAGTTTTTTTGCGGGGGCAAACTTATATCTAATTATGCGCTTTCTGTTTCAGTATTTGTAATTATTGCTATGGTGCATATGGGTTATTAACTCTAACATAGGGCTGCTTTGCAGGGTTCGTTATGGAAGTCAATCTTTGCGTTTCTCCTTCTGGATGCTTGTATCCGTTCTCATATTGGTTATTTTCATGTTTGAATACTTAATTACCCCTTTAAACTTTTATGATGTATTTTGTCTGCCTTAATGATCAAAGATAGAAGTCTGCTTTTGAAAAGAAATGAGGGAGAGTGGGGTTCTTCCATGAGTTTTTCTTCAATTGTTTGGACATTCCAAGAGGTTAGCAATGCCGGTGGGAATTGGGGATAAATTTCAGCTTTAAAGTTGGAGTTGGATTCTCTGTGGTTCTTGAAAAGTGGGTTTGCTGCTGTCTTATGTAGATTGTCCAGGATGTCTTTGTCGGAAATTTTGTGTTTTTCTGTATTTTTCTTCTTTCAATGAGGCTGATGCTAAACACGACGATTCAAATCTCCAGGTAAATGTTTGTTTCAGTATCATGCTGTTTCTTGCTTTCATTTATTTCTTGGACTTGCAATATTAGGAGTGTGAAGCACTAATATCAACTGCCATGTGTGCCACTCATTATTTTTTAGGACAAACTCAGATTGCAGATTACCTTGAAGGGGGATTTTTTAATCCAAATTAGTATAATTATCTATAAATCTTTTTTTATGCGTGCATAACAATGGACTGGGATAGATGTTGTGTATGATCATTGACTACTTGTGGTCTGACACCTCTGTCTATGTGAAACAGATTTCTAAGATCATTAAAGAGATATGGCCAAAATAAGGCAAGATAGAGAAAAGTAGTTCTCGTTACCGAAATTTTAGAATTATGTACACGTCTGTTGACAATTATGCTGGTGATATTTGATCTAGATTATCTGCATCAACCATAGAAAATAAAAGAATAGTGTAATTTGACTTATTCTTCCTTAACTTCACAGGTGCAAAGACATTTTGCTTGCCGTCCTAGTTTCAAGTTACTTCAAGATTTTTCTTATTGCCACAATGGTATGGCTTACTAAAAGCATATTGACAACACTTCTACTCTTTCAGCTTCTGTAATCTTCTTGGTGTTGGTTCTTGTTTAATGCTTGAGCTTGAAGTTTGGTTTAATCTAACTTTTCTAAACATGCATTGTCGCAGGTTTGGGAATTTCTATCTTCTGTGATCTTCATCATTGATTTATTTGTTTTATCATCCAACACCGTGGCATTAAAAGGTTAGGTAAAAGCATTCATTGCTCTAATACAATCATGCTTAACCTTTATTCACCAGTGTTCATGGTAGTGCCATGCTAGTAATTATTATTACTGCAGCAAGTGATCAATATGTGGACTCGCACGAATCTGTTGTCTATGGTTGAGTGTGAAACGAAAATTTTAGACTATTAGAGCATCTCCCCATCTCCAAGGGGAGATGTGATGCTATTTAGAAGAGCAAAATTAATAATATGGTTTTTTGAATAGTGTAAATATGATATTTTTGCTTCTGCACTTCAATGATAAAAATCCATTTAGAAAAGCCAGTTGTATTTTAATATATTTGATATTAATAAACCATTTATTAATTGTAACTAACTAATACAACTCCAATCAAAACCCTTCTTTTGCATAAAAATATATTAAACAAACTTGTAGCATTTTTGTCCAATATGTAGGAATGACTCTCCAACATAGAAATATTATTTTGGCTCTCCAGTGTAGCACTTTCCTTGAAGCTGTAAAAATAAGAGATGAAAGCCAAAACAATGTTTTTTCCTTTTGGCTTTTCATTTAGCACATCCCTTGGATATGCCCTTATGTAGCAACCTATCCCACATGTGGATTGTTAATACTTCAAATATAGTATACTTTTTGAGGTCCTGGCTATGTATAATTGAAAATATGTTCAGCAGAAAGCTGAATATTTGGGTCCACGTGTATTTGTATACACAATTAGCAGAAAGTGTAAATATCCCCATTAACTTGTAGGAGATCTAGAAATGCATTTCAATAATTTTTTTACTCACTGTCTGTTTTCAGTTCTTATTCTTAATATTGAAGTTCCCAAACATTTCCTTAGCGGTGTTTAGAATATTTCCTTATGAACACTGTCCTGCTTTCATGAAGTACATTTATCTTGCTGGGTTTGTTCTGTCAAATATTGGAATATTGCTAACTGAATTTTTTTTCCCGAGTGGATTCTTGGAGGATTATTGATCGATAGTTGAAATGAACTTCATAGTTTTACACACCTTTGCTCTTTTTTATGAAGCAGTGATCACAGATTCAGCCATGAATAGATGCATTGCAGTCTGCTTCTGTGCACAGGCTCTTAAGTTGCTTGTCACTCAGGTGCCCGCTCGGAGATTGTTGAGATTTTAAAGCATTGATTGTTCATTTTCATTATATGAAAGCACATCATGCTATGCCTAGTCATTTCAGTTAAAAAACTAGTTGTCTTATTTTTAAACGTGAGGAGTGCAGATTTTAAACCCAAAATCGCAAATATTGAAGTTCGAGAAATGTAATTGTGTCTTGGAGCCCCTTCAAAGATGATCGATTCTTCTAGTAGGTTAACTACGCGTAAATTGCTTGTGCATTTCAGATTGAGTTGAAATTGAGCTTAGTATATTTTATAAGCCTGGTTTTTTTAGTAGGTTAACTACCCGTAACTAATTAAAATTGCTATTCATGATTTTTATTTGTGTTGATATTTTCAAATTCATATACTAGTTAGGAGGTTTTAAGATGTTGATTTGATTTGATTTTAAATTTAACACTCATTTAAATAGTTTATAAATAATTTTCAAAACAGTTTTAAGAAATTATTTATTTTTAAAATATATCAACACATAGTTTTTTCTATCGTTTAGGATTTGATTTTAAAATTTGAGAAAATCTAATTGAAGATATTGTTCTTTTCTTCAATTGGACATGTTTACAGGGCTATTTCCTTAGCAAGTTCTCCAGCTCTTTCTTTTGGTTCATCGAAATGATTGATTTTGGTTTGGCAATTAATATTATAAAAACCAATATTCATGGCGCATTTACTGTAGTAGTTCTCAAGATTTATTTGCACTGTAGATTAGAATAATAAAATTATGATTTTATCCTTTTTTAAAAAACTCTAGACATGGCAATGGCGTAATAAGATATTTTAATTTTTTAAAATGAAATGATTTTATCTTTCCATTTTAGAAGTTTTATTTCGAAACCAAACTTAACGAAGGTAGTCTATTGTCACCATCAACAACATTTACGTCGATTCCTTCTTTTGTTAGTGAATGTATAGGGGCAATTAAATAAATGTCTATTCTAATTTGGTAGTGATTTTAAAATTTTTTATGTGATACTTAATATTAATTAATTATATTTAACAATATTAATTAGAATGAGACGTATTGTAATAATAAAAAGAGTACCAAAGACACAGATAGAGAAGACAACACAAATCAATCCAACAACATTCACTAATGGGGGATTTTGTCTGTGGCTTAATGGACACTTTTCCCAAGTGAATGAAAGAAGACACCCAGTAGTTTTCAGATGAACCAATTGTTCTCAAGTTCAAACTTGTTTCTGCATGAGCCTTTTCCAAGTCATTTTCAGATTCCATAATGAAGGTTTCTTTCGGAGGCAAAATTAACAGAGCTTTCCATCCGAGGCAGATCAAAGGCAGTACCAAGCTTTGTCGCTTTTAGGGCCTGCAGCATAGATCAAATACAGTTCAATTCCATCACCTAGAGACAGACAGCCTAAGTCCCTCGCCTCGTAGCATTGTGGTCCGCAAGTTGTTACATAATCAGGAACTTCTTCATGGACTGGTTCAAGGGAAGAGATATAGCTCTCTGATTCTAAGCCACAACTGAGGAAGCCTCCATTACTTCGGTGTCATCATGATCAGACTCCGTAACTAATGTTTCCTTCTGAGGAAAATCTTTGGAATTGAAGTGCTTTCTAGCATTTCGAACCTGCAAGCAGAAATCAAATGAAGTTTGAATTCAACACCGAAGATAAGTTATTCTTCGAGTTTTATACATGCAACTTAATTTCCTCACCTTATGTCATTTAGTTGTTACATAATCAGGAACTTCAGGGACTGAAGTGATGCAATAGATATATTTCTTTATATCTGATCCCGATGAGGAAGCCTCTGTTACTTGGATGTCATCACAATAACAACCGATCTCTTCAGATGTCAGGGTTTCTGAAAGTGCTTGAATGGTTTGCATCAGCCAGTATTCATTTCATCTGGCATTTCCACCAGAAAAGTTTGAAGTTCCCAGAGGCTGGGAAGACTGCAATAAGAGTATGAAGATACAAATTTTGCTACATTCCTCAAGAAGTCTTAGTAAGAAACTCAAAATGACTAAAATAGAAGGAATGCGGCGAAGTTAGAGCATTTGACCTGTGTAAGATGTCAATGCAACCCTGCTTTTTTCATTTTGCTTGGACATATATAAGATCTATAGACTATTGATGAAGATCTTGTATATTCTTTTCATAAGATCTATGAATTTTTTGTTCGATTTGGAGATTCTATAAAAGAATCATGGACTATTTTGGGATTCATACGATTATAATTTGTGTACTATTTTGAAGGCATCTACGATCTCTAGACTATTCCTTAACATATATGAGATCTATATTCCACAGGAGAACATCATTGAAAACACTGAAATAACATGAGCATGCATAAAGTTGCAATGCTTCCCAATGATATTCTCCTGTGCTATTTATTGAGTTTAAATGTCTTCGGAGAAACTTTCTCCAATAGCCATTGGAGAACATTTGTTTACCTCAAGATGGTCAACTTTAATGTCATTGTCACCAATACCTTCAGGATTTACTCTACTCAATGACTTTGGTGGACTGGAATCATTGAGAGTGTTTGAAGTTTGTAGTTAGATTCATGCGGACAAACACATTTCTGGAGATAAAGCCGGCTGGTTCATCAAGAAATGAATCTGCCAACTTTATGGTTTACTCCACATCTTCATATCATCAGCATCAAACTGAAATGTCAACTCATTGGTGAATGGTGTATTCTCTGAGAGGCCCTGCTCCATGTGGATCTGCTGCTGAATTGGATGGGGATACTGGAAGCCCAGTCATTTCCAGTAAATATAGATTGCACTTGCATCCCTTGGTCTACCTGAAAGGATAACAACATCAAAGTGAGCGTTAGTTCTTGATGTTCGAGATAACTAATTAGTTATGAACTAAGGGAATAGTTCAGTAATTAATACTAGACTTGTCATTTTCAAAGAGAAGTCTCAATTTCAAACCTTTATAAGAGTGAAGGTGTATTAGAATGTAAGAATAGTGTTCGATTTCATAACCTAAACCCCACTAGACCAATTAAAACTGAAACTTAACTAAAAAGGTACAAAGGTGTTTATGTCTTTGTTGGTTAATAATCCAAGTTTAGTTACTAGTTGGCGGGTCTCCAGTCTACTTGCATGAGACGCTACCTGGGAATGAGTGTGAGATTGCTAGAACTTGGATCGGGATTTGAGAATGCGACCTTTTCACGTCCAGTTAACCATCTAGGTGGTGGCCAAGTGATAAGGATTTGGGATCAAGGAATTTGTTCTCTTTGTGGTCTCAGATTCGAGTCCTTGGTTGCTCATATGATGGCCACTGGAGGCTTACATGGTCGTTAACTTCAGGGTCCGTGGGATTAGTCGTGGTGCACGTAAGCTGGCCCGGACACCCACGTTAATCTAAAAAAAAAAATGGAGCCCTCTTGCAGTGACGTGCCCTACCAAACCTCCGGTCCAAATTTTCCGTACTGACATGACTGCAACTATAAGCTCCCAAGTGTGCTTCTTTAAGAAATTAGATTACTAATAGATAGGTCTTTTTTTTTTAAAAAAAAAAAAAAGTCTTCTACGCTCATACATTGCCATTGCCAGTCCAAGCATTAATTTTTTGAACTTCCTCCACAAATTTCCCCTTTTCCTTCCTTGTTTCCTTAGTTTTTCGATGCTGCCAATCATAATCTCATTTCTTTTCACCTATGTTTCCTTAATTTTTCTCTTGTGTTTCCCACTTTCATGCGCCCTTCGTCTCTTAACATGTGAGCTGTATCCGTCAAATTATTAACTTAAATCAACTTATTTGTCCAACTCTTAATGATCAGGTAACACGGAGGCTGCAAATTTGATTGCTCAAAAGGGTTCTTTTTAAGATACCATATTGGTTATAATGCCCGCTTTCTATTCTAATCACACCATCGAGTTGATTTAATGATAAGTAGCTTTTATGATTCTAATTTTAAAAAAAATATTTTATAAAAAATATTTTTAGTTAATAGATAAGGTAGGTTTGATATATATATTTGGTTGATATTAAACAAAAAATAATTTAATGTGTTTGGTTAATAATGCTTTTTAAATTGAGGTTATAAAATATCTATATTAATATTAATGGTTTTAAATTTAAATATTATATATTTAACTACTATTATTATATCATGAAATAAATAATATTTTTTTATTATTTCATTAAATTATTTACAATTTCATTATATGAAAAATTCATTCGATAAAAATTATAATTTTCATGATTTTTAAAACATATAATAAAATTTGATAAAATATTATTAAAAATAAAATTAAAATTACAATACGAGTAAATTTAATTTATTCTAAACTAGTTTTTTAATAAATTCACTATACTGGTTTGGTTTTTCAAAAAAAAAAAACACTGCTCACATGAGTGAATTAAAATTTATTAGCATTGTTCATTTATTGAACAGTACAGAAAAAGGCAGCTGAGAGTTGCTTTTAATTTAACTGTATTTTAAACGCAAATTCAATGAACCCAACCAAAAATAGCAAACAAACTGACCTTAAACACTGGCAGATCAGAAAATTTTGTTTAACTCGTATATATTCTGTCATGGTTGCGGTGTTGGACGGTAGTTACTGTTATCTGTATTAAGTTTGCTGTAAATTGCTGTTTAAATGTATAAAATGCTCGTAACTAAACGCTTCCCGTTTCCTTGGGATATACTATACCTGTAGTGGTTTGGATACTGATCTTATCGTGAGAAACCGAAAAATCAAAGAATAAATTACTGTGTAAAACTTCCGAACTTTGAATATCATGAAACAGGGTACCACAAAACTTGATTCTCAAGTTGCGGCCGAAATTCTTACAGCACAAAAAATCGTAGACGAAAGTAAGCAATGAATTGAACTGTAGCGCAAGGATATGAGGATTAGGGGGTTGGGGTTAAAGGATTTTAAGGCTGTGTTCGTTTACAAGACGCACCTTGTAAACAAACGTTTAACGCTTACTAAGAGTCTATTTATTTGTGTTGTTGTTTTATTTATTTGTATGATTGTTTGTGTTTAAAACAATTATGACAAAACAAATATTTAATAAAGTTAAAAATACAATTTATTTTTTATGAGGCTCAGTGCAATTTATGTTTAAAACACATGTTTTGCTGAAGTAATTTTTAGCTGCTTTTTTATTTTTATTTATTTTTTTAAGTAAATAATATGAGTAAATTAAAATTCTCTCATAACTGTTCATATGAATAATTTTATTTAAAAAAATAGTTTAATAAATTATAAATTCATTCACGTTGTGTATATGAATAAAATTTTTTAAATAAATTATTGTTTTTTAAAAAAATCAGTTTAGAGTAAATTAATTTTATCTGCACTATTATTACGTGAATAATTTTTTTTTTCTAAAAAACTAGTATAGAGTAAATTAATTCACTTTCACTGTAATCTCAATTTTATTCTTAACACTCAAAAAATTATGAAAACTGTAGATCTTATCGGATGAATTATTTAATGAAATAATAAAAAATATTTTATATAAAATATTATTTATTTTATGATATAATAGTAGTAATTAAATCTATAATATTTAAATTTTAAACTATTAATATTAATATATATATTTTTTTATTTATTTTATAACCTCAATTTAAAAAATATTTTTAACTAAATATATTAAATTATTTTTTATTTAATTTTAATTTCAATTATAGTTTTAACCAAACATATATAAATATCAAATCAACTTTAATTAAAAATATTTTTTTATAAAATTTATAAAATACTTTTTTATACTTTTTTATACTACCACACTACCAAACATATTGATCCCAAAGTCCACCGATGTAATACACTGGATAGACAATTCTGTTTGTGACAAAATGCTTGACCGTATACCCTTCTAAGAGTGGCATCTCTCAGTGAACAATCAGCGCTTCTCTAAGCATGATTAGGAATAGAAGCAGACCTAAGACTGCGTTCAAAAGATAAACCGATAGAGGGCTTGATCCATGGCTTGATATAGTTGTTTCAAGGTGAATGAAACGACCCTTCCGAGGCAGATCAATATCAGCACTTTCATTTCTACCTTCTCCAGCCTGCAAAGATAAATCATAAAGAGTTTAATTTCATTCGCTAGTTAGAGACAAGCTGCTTCCATGTTTTTTGTCCTCCAATGTATACTCCTCACCTTTGAAACTCCGCGCAGCAATTGAACTCTTTTATGAGAAACTTCCTTGCGTTCTACAAAGCTGGGCGCTACTGGAGGCGGAGGTTGGCGAGTCCTTGGAATTACTTCACCACCTGATTGCATTAATTTGATATGTTCATGTCGAGTTGCAGTAGTGGAATCCGTGGAAGATGCCCCCATCAAGAGAATATCATCACCGTGAGCCATTTGCAGCTGCCGAGATATTTTCAAATTACCGTGCCCGCCATACAAGTTTGCCGACTGTCATAAAGATAGGAATAGACAAGTTAAATTTTCCAAGTGTCCTCAAAGAATACACATGAAATACAAAATGATTCCTGGCCCAGAAATGCAGCAAATCTAGAATGGTTAACCTGTGCACGAACTCTCAGTAAAACATAGAATTTCATTTCACCTGAAGGTCTTTCACGATTCTAAAGAGAATGTCCTTAGTGGCATTGAAATAATGAGCAAGTCACATATTACTCCGATGCTCCCATTAGCATTCTTTTAAATAATTATAGAGAGAATCAGGCGTTACTAAAAATGGTCATTGGAGATTATTTATTACCTCTCCATAGGCATGATAAGTTGTTCTGTCACTGCTATCCTCAGCATAAGCTTTCCTTGATGACCTTGGTGAGCTGTGGTCATTTGGGAGAGAGAGTGCAGCATTTTCAGTGCCATATTCATCTGGATCAACAATTAATGAGTCCGCAAACGCAAACCCTATCGCATCCTCTTCATCTGAAAGGTAATTCTGTGCATAGATTTGTGACTGCAGTGGGGAAGGAAAATTGAAATCCTCCCCGAGGCTGTCAAGGAGAGATGGCAGTTGCTCAGCATCTACCTGGACTCAGAATCATACACAAGTAAACACATTGGCTTCTCATGCTCCGCATGAAAAACTACGTTCTTAAAACTGCAATTGGGAAAGCTCCATCTCACCTCTAGGATACTAGGTTCACCTTCATCATTAGGTGAATTGGCAGCTGAGTCATCTGCCTTTTCCTTTAACTTGCAAAGAACAAGAGCCCTCTACAGTAAAAAGAACTCGAAAAATAAGAAATCAAGCAGCAGTCCGTTCCCAAAGTTTCAGGATAGAACAACACATGTGGATATAGCAGACAAGCTTGGATATAGCAGACATTCAGCAAATCACATTGAAAACAGTTTGTACAAATAGAACTCAAGCATCAAAAAAGCTAGGATATAGCAGACATTCTTCTAATCACATGGAAGACAGTTTCCCATGGCTTAAAAGTAATGGAGAGTGTGCTGAGCAAGATTAACTGGTCTAAGTTTAAGGCAAGCAATATCCAATAATAGCAAAGAATTTAGTTTATGTTCGGTATGATTTTTACAAATTGGTTTAAGTTGTTTTTAAATTCTTTATCCAAAGAAAAGTTACATGTATATTTGGTTAGAAATAACATTTGACTTGAATCAAAAGCTTGTTAGGAAATTGAGTTAAAATTTTGATTTTTTATCTTTCAACTTACAATGCATCTATTCTTTAAGAAAATTGCTTTGAGTCATTTTAACCAAATATATTCTCAACTTCAAATCATTTTAACTCATCTTTTTCACAAGTTATTAATGAAAAATAACTTTTGGATTATGACTAAAAATCCAAAGTCATAATTCAAAAAATCATGTCAAACAATCCCATCGAAGCACGACATTGAACTCCAGCACTCAAATTCTTCCACACAAACACAACGGTCTAACCTTAATCCCTAGATGCAAACAAAAGAAAAGGCGGTAATCTCATGTATACTGTAGGATTTAATACCAAAAAAAAAAAAAGTATTATATAATACCTCAACAGGAGGGGACGTTTTAGCCTGGAATTCATGGATGACCCACCTAGTTTTTTTAGAATCAGGACATTTGTGTAGGAAAACCAGATTCTTCTTAGTACCAATCACCTCATTTGTGCCTCTACGCTTGATATTACGAACCTTGCCGGTCAATTTCCAGTTTCCATTCTTGGTTGTTCTGTTAACTCGTTTACTATTTGAGTACTTGTAGTCAAGCCGACAAAAGAAAAACCACACTCGATCATTTGACTGACTTACTGCAAAGTCTACAAACACATGATCACATAAAAAAAAAACATTAGGATTTAATTATCAAGAATAGCTTACATACAAACACATGATCACATAAAAAAAAAAAAACATTAGGATTTATCAAGAAAGTGTGGATTTAATTATCAAGAATAGCTTAGAATTTTTGTAACAATCATCACTGTTTATGGTACTAACCAGGTAAATCCCATGGATCCCACTGATAAAGGTGATCAATCTCACCAATATAAGCATCAACAAGCGAATCAAGGCCGTTCAATTTGTTCCTCAGATAATGATCTATGATTTCTTCATCAGTTGGATGGAATCTGTATCCCACCGGCTTCATCACACTCAATCACCGGTAAAAGTGCTCGTTTCTTTAAATAGAAGAGAAACCTAGAAATCAAGAAAAGTTGAAAATATAACAAGAAGCAAAGTTATTAACGAGAAGATGATTCATCCCTCTTCCTAAAACAGGTTGACTAATGTAATGCACGAGAACAGAAACCTTAATTCTTGACAAGGAGAAGCAACTCGACAGAACAGAGTCAGAGAGCTTCCACTGCCATAAGATAAAAAGAAAAATAGGGTGTTTCTTCTTTTTTGTTGTTATTTTTAAGAAAACATTGACTTGAGAAATCTCTTGGGATTGACTCGAAGATTCTATTATTTTTTCATCAAATGTACCTCCTTACGTGAGAAGCTACCCATTACTACTGGGTGGAACCACCACTGCAACCACGTCCACACGCGCGGGCGCGCTCTCCCTCTCTCTCTCTCTTCTAATTAAACTTGTTTTCATCCCAAGTAATCAGAGTTCAAACAAATTTTAGAATTATTAAAGATTTATATTATTGTTAGTTTTATGATAAATGAGATTAATTAAACTATATACAGATTAGTTTAGATATTTATATTAATTAAAAGAACAAAATATCCTCTCTCATAGAAGTTTATAAACATATTATTATACTATAGTATAAACTAGAAGAGATAGATGTATATTACTCTAGATTTTAATAGAAAAAATTAATTAATATCCAATTATATATATATATATATATATATTAGAGAGGGTTAAATTAAAATATAAGAGACTTAGATAAAAATTACTGGTAAAACAAATGATGACTTTGAAATTTATTTAAAAGTCCAGTTTAGTCCCTTAATTTTTTTTAAATATCAATTGATTAGTCCCTTTAATTTTTAAATATTTAATTTTGATACAAACTTTATTTTTCTCTTCATCCATCTTTTTTATAGAAAAGAAAGGAGGAGTTGCTGGATTCTATTTTAAAGAGAAAGAGTTTTTGTTAGATAAAATTTCACCAACTAAAATAATTTCATATATAATAAGGAAAGTTAAGATTGTGTTTTCTTTATCTTAAAAGAGTCTAAAAAACATATTTAAATTTAAGAAATTTTTTGTTTTAAGTTGATTTTAGTTTTTTAAACCTTTTATTATTATTATTATTATTATTGTTATTGTTATTATTATTTCAGAGGCCATATATTAGTTTGGCAAGGTTGTGTTTTCTAAATGTTTTTGGATAAAAAAAATATTGGTTGAAAATAGGATTTTTGGGTTAAAAAAACATCCCTGTTTTTTAAACCATCATGTAGGACCCTGAGGCATGTGTCGTCACAGGTTTTGAGATGGAAATGAGCACCTTTACTTGATCCAAAGACATTTTTAGAAACTACACGATCTTATAAAATCTCACAGGCTACAATTAAGCAATCAGCAATCAAGTAAAAAGCAGGACACACTCGAGATGCATTAAATTCCACTCCAGAAAAACAACAAACGTACTTTCCTATGACATATGATCAGCCACATCCAATGCATGCAGCGGATGAACTGACCTGTTAGTCCTAGGTTTAATACAAATATGCTATTAAGACATAAAAATAGGAACTTCAGGGCATAAAGTTGGTACAGGGCTATATATAGATAAAGTTTGACAACAGACATGGATGATAGGCAACCCATTGCAGGAAAGGGTTTTTTTCAGTACATATTCCCTTATGGAAACAGGGCATTCAGGCTGTAACATCCCTCATCATAGCCACGCAATGCGTCCAGGTGTGCTTGGAATTGATAAGTATCTTCCTGTAAAAGAAACACAAGTTGTTGATATATTCTTATTACATATGAAATAACTTGCAAAAAAACAAAACTGCTTGTTATTGGTGATATTTATCACCTCTGGCTCGTTGTTAGTGAAATTAGAAGCCGTCCAGGCACCATCTTCACCTTCTTGAAAGGCTTGGGGATGATTATACTCAGTTGAGTTTTGATTTTCAGTATGATCAGAAGTCACATTGAAGCTTGCTTCACCTTCTTCATATGTTGGCATTATCGCATCTGGATCTTTCTTCAGTTTGCAGAGAACGAATTCCCTCTACGCAAAAAGGAAACAAAAAAGCAGTTGATAGCATAATTGAAACTATATCTATTAAATATAAAGATTTAAAAAAAGAAGAAGAAAATGCTAAAATCTGCAAAGAGTTCATATAAGAAAACTTCTCGGAAAATAAAACAAGAGCACGTGTGTATACTGGGGGAAATAGTACTTCAACTCTTACAAGTGATCGTTTTAGTTAGCTGATATTCAAAACCAAAGTTTTCAACATCAGTGCCAAGGAGCACTGTTGTTGAGCCACTGATCTGATCCCAAGCCTTTCGTTAATTTTATTTCTATTATACCCTCGAATGCAAGTCTCTTTCTTGGAATGAAGAGACAAAAGAAAAGACTATACAAAACAACTTAAGAAGTGCCAGCAATGGTACCTGGTTATTGAAGGTGAAAGTTGGATGATACTCGTGCATGACCCAATTGGTCTTGATCCCGTTAGGAACACGGCCCTCGTAGAAAACCAGAGTCTTCTTGGTAGCAATATGCTCCTTGGTGGTTTTAGCCTTGACTGCACGATCCTTGCCCGTGACTTTCCAGTATCCAGCTTGAGTTGTCCTATTAGCCCGGTGGCTATTTGGGTACTTGTAACTGCGAGGACAGAAGAAATAACACTCTGGGTCGTTTGGCTCTTTAATTGCTGAAAGCTCTGCATGATTTGTTGTTGATTGACAAATTGCAAGTTAGAAAACAGGGAAAAAATAGGAAAGTGATAAGAAAAAAAACATTGCACTGGACACGAAGACATGAACACGTACCAGGCAGAACCCAAGGCTCATAATCGCACACACTAGCCTCTGCGATTAATCTGACTTCTTGTTATTAGCCACCGTGCATTTTAAACCTCAAGTAATAGTTCACCAATTCTTCATCGGTTGGATGGAATCCATAGCCTACGGGAGGTGGTCGAGAATGCATTGCTGTACTTGTCTTGGATTGATCACGTCGTGTATAACTAGGAGAAAATTAAGGCAAATTATATATATATATATATATATAAAGAAAATTACCAAAGCATCAGAGGTTGCAAGAATAAAATCTATAATTTGTAAGAGAAGAATTAAGTAGAGAGACAAGTAAGTACTGAAAAGGAAGCTGTTGGTGTGCACTGGAAGCTGTGGTGTGCGTTCAATATATATACAGGGGATGCTTCTATATATCCAAGACCTCGAACCCACAGTCCCCTCACAGAATCTACTTCATTCAGAAGTTCGTAGTTTCGAAGACATCAAGGGTCTAAGTGGGTCCCATGTGAAACCGTGTCCTCCTTGTCCGTACAGTGTTACTATAAATATTTTAACCCCTCCCACTACATATCCTTCCATTGATAGGCAATTAGGAGGAAGGAGGGAATGTAAGACAGTTATAGAAATAACCTTTTTCACCGAGACAAGAAATAAATAAAGGAAGTTAGCAATTCATTTCTCCAGCCACAGGGCGCCACGACGTGTATAGACTGTTTTAGGTTTTTTTTTTTAAAAATGATTTTTATTTGAAAATATATAAAAATAATATTTTTTATTAATTAAAATTATTTTTAATATATAAAATAATTTACAAACAACATAAATATTTTTTAAAAAAAAACCACATTTTAACCTTAAAAGGTAAAAACAAATATCTCCTATATATGGAAAGTTCTCCAAAAGTGAGAACTTGGAATTCCACAACTTACACTACAAGCTCTCGGGGCTGCACTTAACAGAGAACATTCGCGAACAATCACGTATAGCGTCCAAGTCAAACTATGGACTCCAATACTCATTTGTTTTTGTTCTGCCTTTACATTCTGTTTGGAAAAGAATAGAAAATGATTTTTCTCCATGGAAAAACTTTACTATAATTCCTAACATACGAGAAAGAAACAATCAACATGTACATGTCCTTGGAAAAACATTTACCCTCCAATTCCACTCGTTTTCCTCCCGTTGATTTGATCCTCCAATTCTAAAGAACAGAAAATGTCTTTAGGGAGCTTCTTGTTGATTTGATCCTCCGCTCAGGTTATTAATGGCAGGTGGGAAGAACAAGTAGCTAGCTCGACACGGAAAAGAATCGCTTATTACACTTTCTCTGCGTGGTGAGTGTCCTTTTCTATGTATTTATACTATAGGAGTGTGTGGGGTCTTTTGTTCCATGGCAGCATATGTGTCCAAAATATAAGCGAGTTTCATGTTAATTTGACAAGTTTTCTATGGGTATCCTTTTTTTCTTTGGAACCACACTTGCTTGACAGGTTTGATTTTAGGTTAGCTTGAACAAGTTTTCATGGTTTTTTTTCTAAAAAAAAAGTATTTCAAAATCTGTAAAATAAGATAAATTATGCATAAGTTCAAGTCATATTTCAAGTGTTTTTCAAATATAGATCCATTAAGAATTCCTTATATATAATAGTAAAGCCATTTATTAGTAATGGTTTGTTTATTTGCGGTCATGAATAAAATAAAATAATAAAAATTATAATTTGTTATTTAAAAGAGTATTTAACAATATCAATAAATATTTTTTTGTAATTATTTTCTATGTTGCTATTTGGCCGTTCTTTAATTAAATATCACATATAAAAAGCGCACACAAAAAAATAAAAAATAAAAACACAAATCTTGAGGGGACATGAGTTCTAGTCCTTGGTTTTCTTGACAAGTTCAGGTCCTTCTTTAACAATGAATCGCATCACCCTGACGTGATCACATGATTTTTTTTAATTAGAAGGTATCTCCATCGAAGGCCCGCATCGCCTTCAATACTGCACTTCGGTGCAGCTTCGAAATCAGAGATCGAGACCATATGGTGATTTGATTCACCTTGGTTGGTCTTCACATCTGGTTTTTTCTTCAATTTACAGAGAACACATCCCCCCTGCGCATATTGAAACAGAGAACCCAGATTCATCGAGTGAATTATTAGTACATCAGAGCATACACCAGCAAAAGCAAATTAATTTCTAAAAAAACACGGGGCGCCTCCATCACCAGATATTCAAAGTAAAATCGAACGAACAGAACTTAAGAACCAAAAATTACCGACTAAAATCTCCATGCACAACAGAGTATATGACCATTCCTGACAGCTTGAAATAATAAAGAGGTATGATAATTGAGCAAAAAGTAAAGGACCAGATTGACATCCAAGTTTCCAATTTCGTAGAAATGATAGCCATAACTTGCTTGGGCTACTTTCCCATTCCATGTAAGAACATTGCAACAAATTAATTCAAATCAATCTTTTTAAAATAATTTTCAATTTATTTTTTAATTAATCTCTTTTCTCTATTATTTTTATTTTTTATGATATTTTTAATATATATAGCTTGGTATTTCTTTTTATTTATTTTATTCTATTAATTTTATGTGTATTGATTTTCATTACAACTAGATAAATGAGCCAAGATTATGAAAAAAAAAAAAAACACGACATGAAATGTATAATATAAACTTGAATCATAAGCTTGTAAAATCATAAAATAAAATTATAAGTAAAATATTTTAACTAATTATATATTGACAATTCCAGTCAAGTAGTAAATAATATAATTAAAATAAAAATAAATAAACAGTAAGCATATCCAAATACCTTAAAATTCATGATTCAAATAAAATTTAATATATAATAATAATAGTATGCAGTACTGCGGAAATAACTTCACAAGATAAAAACAGAATAATTATCAAGGAAACTTGATAATCATTAATTCAGAGAACAAATACAAAAGAAATGCAGCAAGAAGACAGACGAAACTAATTTGCTTGCTAGCACCCGCAGCTTCATTACAATGAACAGGAAACAAGCTTCCAATAAAACGAAAGAAGTGGACACTGAATCACAAACGATGATTGCAAGATAAAGAATGCCACATCTTAGTGATTTTTTCTTAACACCCAGCAAAATTAATCTTTTGCAAATACATACGCACAAAACAGGGCTAGGGATATTTTCAAGACAAACTCTTATGAATATTTGCTTTAACAAAGATGTTTCAAAAACCACATTTGTTACATAAGTCATTACTTGCACTGCATTTTGATCATCCATTCTGATGCCACATACAACAACTTAATTGACAGCATGGAGAAGCAAACTGCCAGTTATTACTCTGATTAGGACCATCTCCCAGCAATGAAAATCAATAAACCAGATTATTGATTTTTTTACATATAAACAGAACACTCCAACTAAATAATTTCAATTGAAACCACAACTAGTTCTTCTTAAATATTTTTCTGCTAATAAATTATGCAAGAACTCAATACACACAAACACACACACACAAGACTGCACGACTCAATTCGTTCTTAACATTTCTTAGTAAATTCATAGAACAATGAATTGCCAGCATAATCTGTTCTCATACTATTCACTCCATGCAATGCCTTCAAATTCCTTTATTGCATGTAAAGCAAACATCAAAACTCTTTTTACATTAATAACAGTCTATTTCGTTTAATCTATTCAATTTCAATCATTTATTTGTTCAGTACAAATATATAATCACATAATATCATCAAAAGATATACAAAATTGCAACCAAAATAATAGTTTAATATTATGAATTAAAAGAAAAACGCACCTGAAGGAGAAGAGGAATTGGAGTTATCATTGCTATTCTTCTTAGCCATAGCTTTGACACTCAAAGAATGATCTCCAAAAGAAGAAAATTTATGCTTCCAAAACCCTAATGCCCAAAACCCTGAATTTCTCAAAACTAAATGATTTCTCTCAAATTGAATGATTTTTTAAACAAAAAGGGCTTCCAGTTGTGTTCTTTACATTAACCGCCCACATATCCATCATTCTATCACAATGGGTGCAGCAATTACAATCAGATTCTCTCGTAAAATGAAATAAGCATGCAAGAGTGTGTTTTTATTTTCTCGGGAAAATTGAGCAGCTCTATACTTTGGAATCGGCATGATCAACAGCCCCCGTAAAAGCATCAATAAGAATTGGCTCCTCACAAAAGGTGAGCAGTACGACAGGGGAAAGCCTACCCAGTACCCAACAAAGCCAAGCTTGGAATTTGAAAAGACCACCTAAAGCTAAGACTCCTTTTCGGGTGTTGCTCTTGAGAGAGAGATTAACAAAGTGTGGATTGTGGAACTTGGAAGACTGAAGACAATCAGATCTGCTAGTGTTGTTAGGGCAAAAGACAAAGGGGAAAGGAGAGTGGGGACTCGAGAGGGATTCATGAAGATTACAAAGTAGACAGTAGAGTGAGTGAGTGAGTGACAATAGATTTTGTAATTTGTAACTTTTATTAAACTCGGATCGAGTTAAATGAGTTGACCGAGTTTAACTGATTTTAATTGAATTTGATCGAGGTTGTTATTTTTTGAGTTTATAACTTAATTTTAGATGTTATATAAAAGTTAACTCATAAAATTATATGATTTTACAAATTAATTTATAAATTTAATGATATTAGTTGGAACTATAACCTAAGTTATTGGTTGGAACTATAACACAAGTTATTGAAGTTTTTTTTGAAATAAACACACTGGGGACGCTTAAGTATTGTACTAGAAAAATAATATGTATTTGCAGCATAGAATGGGTATCAATCTAGTCATGAGCCTTCTTTATTAAGTAGGGATCCAGACAATAATATATTTAAATTGGTTTTTAAAATGTGTTTGAGAGGAGCATGTCAAAATAATAATAATAAAAATACTAAAAAATATTAATATAAAACTAAAAATATTTAAAAATTTATATAAAAAAAGGTAGACTGCAGTATCAAAAAGTCCCTGTTCCTTTTACCCTTACACGCACCTATGTTTTCCTTTTTATCCCCTTCTTTCCATGTTCTTGTGCTCTACAACTTCCAATCTACTTTTTTTTATTTTTATGTTTCCTTTTATATATGAATATGTAATGGTTTAACTAACGATTTCATCCAAAAAAAAAAACATAAACATCACAATAGAAGTTCAAGTTGTTAAATATTTTCAACTTTCTATTAAATTTATTTACTTCATGTGGATGTATAACTCACCAGCAAATATTTACGCTAGTGCCGGTTGATTTTCGTCTAGATGCGGTCATTTCTCATGTAGGACCCTAAGGCATGTGCATTGATCCGTCGTCACAGGTTTTGAGATGGAAATGAGCACCTTTACTTGAACCATAGACATTTTTTGTAAAGTACACGGTCTTATAAAATCTCACAGGCTACAATTAAACGATCAGCAATCCAGTAAAAAGTAGAACACACTCGAGATGCATTAAATTCCACTCCAGAAAAACAACAGAGGTACTTTCCTATGACATATGATCAGCCACATCCAATGCATGCAGCGGATGAACTGATCTGTTGGTCCTAGGTTTAATACAAATACGCTATTAAGACTTAAAAATAGGAACTTCGGAGCGATATATAGATAAAGTTTGACGACAGACATGGATGATAGGAAACCCATTGCAGGAAAGCGTATTTTTCAGTACATATTCCCTTATGGAAACAGGGCATTCAGGCTATGACATCCCTCATAATAGCCACGGAATGAGTCCAGTTCTGCTTGGAGTTGATAAGTATCTTCCTGCAAAAGAAACACAAGTTATTGATACATTCTTATTACATATGAAATGACTTGCAAGAAAAAAAAATACTGCTTGTTATTGGTGCTATTTATCACCTCTAGCTCGTTGTTAGTGAAATTAAAAGCCGTCCAGGCACCATATTCAACATCTTCAAAGGTTTGGGGATGATAATACTCATTTAGGTTTTGATTTTCAGAATGATCAGAAGTCACATTGAAGCTTGCTTCACCTTCTTTATATGTTGGCATCATCGCATCTGGATCTTTCTTCAGTTTGCAGAGAACGAATTCCCTCTACGCAAAAAGGAAGCAAGATCACGTGTATATACAGGGGGAAAGAGTACTTCAAGTCTTACCAGTGATCATTTTAGTTAGCTGATATTCAAAACCAAAATTGTCAACACAAGTGCCAAGGGGTCCTCTTGGTGATCGACCGGTCTGATCCCAAGCCTTTCATTAATTTTACTTCTATTATACCCTCGAATTCAAGTCTCTTTCTTGGAATGAAGAGACAAAAGGAAAGACTACAAAACAACTTCAAGAAGTGCAGCAATGGTACCTGGTTAGGGAAGCTGAAGGTTGGATGGTACTCGTGCATTATCCAATTGGTCTTGATCCCGTTAGGAACACGCCCCGTGTAGAAGACCAGAGTCTTCTTGGTACCAATATGCTCCTTGGTGGTTTTAGTTTTGACTATACGATCCTTACCTGTGACTTTCCAGTATCCAGCTTGAGTTGTCCTATTAGCACGGTGACTATTTGCGTACTTGTAACTGCGAGGACAGAAGAAATAACACTCTGGATCGTTTGGCTCTTGTATTGCTGAAAGCTCTGCAAGATTTGTTGTTTATTGGCAAATTGCAAGGTAGAAAACAGGGAAAAAATAGGAAAGTGATGAGGAAAAAAAAAACAAACATTGCACTGGACACGTAGATATGATCACGTACCAGGCAGAACCCAAGGCTCATAATCGCACACATTAGCCTCTGCGATTAATCTGACTTCTTGTTCATAGCCACCGTGCATTTTTAACCTCAAGTAATAGGTCACCAATTCTTCGTCATTTGGATGGAATCCATAGCCTACGGGAGGTGGTCGAGAATTCATTGTTGTAGTTGTCGTCTTTGATTGATCACGTCGTGTATAACTAATAGAAAATTAAGGCAAATTATATATATATATACACGCACACACACACATATATAAAGAAAGTTACCAAAGCATCAAAGGTTGCAAGAATAAAATCTATAATTTGTAAGAGAAGAATGAAGTAGAGAGACAAGTACTGAAAAGGAAGCTGTTGGTGTGCTGCTGTGCAATGGAAGCTGCGGTGCGCGTTCAATATATCCAAGACTTCAAACCCCCAGTCCCCACACAGAATCTACTTCACTCAGAAGTTCGTAGTTTCGAAGACATCAGGGGTCTAATTGCTCCTTGTCAGTACAGTGTTATTATAAATATTTTAACCCCTTCCACTATATATCCTTAGCCAATTAGGAGGAAGGAGGGAATGTAAGACAATTATGGAAATGACCTTTATCACCGAGACAAGAAATAAATAAAGGAAGTTAGCAATTCATTTCCCCAGCCACAGGGCGCCACGACGTGTATAGAATGTTTTAGGTTTTTTTTAAAAAAATATTCTTTACTTGAAAATTTATAAAAATAATTTTTTTATTTATTAAAATCATTTTTAATATTAATACATCAAAATAATTTATAAACAACATAATTTTTCTAAAAAAAAACTCACATGTTAACAATAAAAACAAATATCTCCTTGGCTCGGAAAGTACACCAAAAGTGAGAACTTAGAACTCCACAATTTACAATCCAAGCTCTTGAGGCTGCACTTAGCTTCCATAACCATCATAGAACATTCGCGAACAATCACGAATGTCGTCCAATTTCAAACCATGCACTCCAATACTCATTTGTTTTTGTTCTTCCTTTACATTCTGTTTGGAAAAGAAGGATGAAGATATACTAACTGAAAATTTATTTTAAAATAAAAAAAGTCCGTACATCCATCTTTATTTCCTTTTCATTTATTTTCTTCCCTCCCAAAATCCAAACACATTGACAGTCGATCAAGTAGCATGAAAAAGAAAACCTAACTGAAATTCTCGATGGCTTGTGTGACATCTCGTCTTCAACATGCAACCCATCACTAAATTTTAGCCAATTATATAATATACATTGTTTTGTCTCGTGATGAAGATGGAAGGATTTTCATGGCGATTGACATGATATAAAATTAATAAATGATGCCGGCTATTTATAAAATGCTTTTCAGGGTTGAGAGTTTGAATCTTACCTGCTATAATTTGTTGCTTTCTTACGTAAATACATGTTTTTGTATGATCATAATTATTTTTAAAAAGATTTTAAACTTCATCTGCCATAGATGTGATGTGATACTTCGATCGAAATACATTGTTACAAGCCTTGTAGCATAAATGATGTTATTTGAAATCTCTATTTTAATGTTCCACATTGTGAGTGCCTTTAGGCAGCTTCTTGTTGATTTGATTCTCCGCTCACGCTGTCAATGGCAGGTGGGAAGTATAATTATTATTATTTTGAATAATATAGGTGTACAGTGACTTTGTACGTAACTCGGATCTACAAACTCGTAGGTTCGGTATCTTTCCGAGCCCAAACGCGAGAGCCTCCATTTATATCCATTTCATTTTTATCGGCTGCTGCTGCTGCTGCTTTTGTTTTTTTTTTTTCTTTTTACCCGGAACCACACTTGTTTGACAAGTTTGATTCCTCATTATTTATTCGTAGAAAAGTTATTTTTTTTGGAAAGTAAATTTTAAAAAAAATGAATTTTAGAGAAAGTAAATTCCTAAAAATTAAAGTATTTTTCGATATTTGGCAATGTTATAAAAAATAAACTGGAAAATAATTTATTAATATTTTATTTTTCTCAAGTTTATTAAAATAATAAGGAATAAATCTTACAAATTAAAAATTTAAATAATAATGAAATTGAAAAAAAATAATTTCATAAATTATCTCAAATAAAATAAATAATAATCAAAATAATAAAGATCAAATCTAAAAAAAAGCACTTTCCTGAAAACCAAACCAATTTTTTTTTACTAAAAAATATTTTCGTTGACCAGAAAGTGTTTTTCGTTTACTGGAAAGTGTTTTTTGTTGACCGGAAAATGTTTTTCGTTGACCAACTTTTCTAATAACAAACAAACACAGGAAAATTTAAAAAATAGTTTTCCAAAAACTGTTTTTCAAAAAACAAACATGGCTTTGGAAAGTTAGATTAACTTGAACAAGTTTTCTTGTTTTTTTTATCAAGTAATATTTGAGATGACTTTTCAAATATAGATCCGTTAAGAAGTCCTTATATGTAATAGTAAAATCAATTATTAGTAATGGTTTGTTTATTTGCTGTAATAAATAAAATAATGAGAATTATAATCTGTTATTTAAAAGAGTGTTTAACAATATCAATAAATAATCTTTTTTCTAATTATTCTATATGTTGCTATTTGGCCCGTGCTTTAATTCAATCCCACAAATAAAAACCACCCAGGAAACAAATAATAAGAAAAAACACAAATCTTGAGTGGCTATGAGATCTAGTCCTTGTTTTTTGACAAGTTCAGGTCCTTCTTTAACGATGAATCACATCCCCCTG